AAATCCGTACAATAATTCAGAGGTTAAATCAATCATTTAACTTTGAGAAATGCAGCAATAGCAAAGCTTGTCCATTCAAAGTTCCAACGACGGCGTTTCTCGAGCCACGGGAGAAATTAAGTATTAAGAATCTGAATATCCATCTCCGAACGGAGGCGAGCCAATTAGAATCAAACTCTCTTTTTCAGCCCAACAAATTTTCAACCGTTCTAATGGGTGTCTCCGGCGTACCTACTGTCGACGGAGGTCCCGATCTCGACGCTGAATCCTCCCTCCTTCTCTCCCAACAAAAACCCCCCAAGCCAGATGATGCGTTTCACTTTGCGTACATCATCTACTTTACGTTAGGTGTTGGCTTTCTCCTCCCATGGAACGCCTTCATCACCGCCGTCGATTACTTCTCCTACCTCTATCCCGACGTCGCCGTCGACCGCATCTTCGCCGTCGCTTACATGCTCGTCGGCTTGACTTGTCTCTTGTTCATAATCTTCTTCGCTCACAAGAGCGATGCCTACGTGCGTATCAACGTGGGTCTCGTCCTATTCGTCGTGTCCCTGCTCGTGGTGCCTGTTTTGGACGCCGTTTACATTAAGGGTCAGGTCGGACTGTACACCGGGTTTTACGTGACGGTGGGGGCGGTTGGGTTGTCGGGTTTGGCGGATGCGCTTGTTCAAGGTGGGCTCATTGGGGCTGCCGGAGAATTGCCTGAAAGCTATATGCAGGCTATTGTTGCAGGAACTGCAGGTTCTGGTAATTTTCTTTTAAACCCTTCTACTGCTACTTCTAGATTTCTAGTTTTGGTTTATATTGTTGCTGGAGCTTAATATGGAAATTAATATGAAGAATTCTGACTGTTAGATCTTGATGGTGCTCTTAATTGGTTGGATTTTAAGCTAGATCTTGAGAGCTTCATTGTTAAGTAACTTTAGGGATTTTGGGATAGAGTAGCTTTAAGCAAGCTATAATGTCAAAGAGCTTAATGTTTAACCATTACATGGCTCATTGTGCTTAAAATAATGGATTTGTACCATCTTCAAGCTGGTTTTAATGTCAAGTTATTTGCTTTTTGTTCTTTATAATTATGCATTTCGGAGCTCACGAATAGGCAATGGAAATCAATCTGCATTAGATCTGAGCAAAAATATAGCTCAAAGTAAAGTAGTTGTTATTGGGAAACCTTTGCAGCTATAGAGCTCATAGGTTGTGCTATTGAATGATGCACTGAGAAAGTTTACCTATAGATCGAGTAGCTCTGTGCAAGCTCTCGATTAAGCATCTTTCTTGTCTTTTGTAGGGATAATTATATGTGATTTTATTGCTCCCATGGACCCTTCATCCCAAATAATTAGAATCAGTCACATGAATTCTTTTCCTTTATTGTGTAAGGTTTAGCTAAACACATGCTTCCTATAAGGTATGCATAAAGTGATCCTTATTTACTATAACTGATACTGCTCCAATTGGGCATTCAATAACAATGCCAAATCTATTGCTGCTCAAGAGTAATCGTATGCTTTTATTGTGATATGCCATTGGATAATATTGCACTATTGTTCTGCAGGTGTTCTTGTTTCAGTTCTGAGGATCCTGACAAAAGCCATATATCCCCAAGATGAAGATGGCCTGAGAAACAGTGCTAATCTTTACTTTGCTACTGGGATTGTGGTTATGGCCGTTTGTATTGCCTTGTATAATATCGCACATAGACTTCCTGTTATGAAGTATTATGAACAGTTGAAGATTCAGACTATAAATGAGGAGAAAGAGGAAAGAGGTCCCCTGACGGGGTCTGCTTGGAGATCAACCTTGTGGAATATAATTGGTGCAGTCAAGTGGTATGGACTTGGGATTGTTCTCATATATATAGTGACCTTGGCAATATTTCCAGGATACATTACAGAGGATGTGCACTCTGCAATTCTCAAGGACTGGTATGGAGTCCTCCTCATTACAAGCTATAATGTGTTTGACTTGGTTGGCAAATCGTTGACTGCAGTTTATCTACTTGAGAATGCAAAAATTGCCATTGGCGCTTGTGCTGCAAGGTTGTTGTTCTTTCCCCTCTTCTTAGGTTGCCTGCATGGTCCCAGTTTCCTTCGCACTGAGATTCCTGTGACAGTACTAACTTGCCTTCTGGGCCTCACCAATGGCTACTTGACAAGTGTGTTGATGATCATGGCTCCCAAATCCGTTCAGCTACAAAATGCTGAGACTGCCGGAATTGTCATAGTATTGTTCCTGGTTGTTGGTCTGGCAGCAGGATCGATCATAGCTTGGTTCTGGGTTGTCTGATCTTCAAGCAGTTTGTTGCTTTTGTTAGCCAATTCCCCAAAGATAAAGTGGGGGTTGCCATGGATTGCCAAATTGATGTTTTAATCCTGTAAAGCCATCTAACTTTAATTTCAATTATTCGATTGTTTCTTCATCCGGAAAAGGAATGGTGAATAAGTGGCTAATTTGTATATTTCTCATTGTTGACAAAAGCTTTGGAAATGCAAGCTATGCTTATTATCTTCTTACATGCTTGCATGATTGGCAGTTCCAAGAGAGAAATGGTGAATATCAAAGTGAGAATAAACTAGTGCATAGCGTACACAAGCAATATGTGGCATCCGTGTTCCTCATTGCAATGAATGATTTTTAGTTTTGAAATAACAGTTAAGAACCATCTGAATAATAAAAAATGTAATCCCTAACCCTAGTAACAAAAAAAAAAAAAAGTACTAAAAAAAAGAAAGAAAAATAGTGCTTTTAAATGAAGATAAATCAATAACTGAAGCAAAACTAAAGAGGGCCTGGCATTTAGAACATGTCGTTATCATCTGTCTGCAGTTCAGAAGGTATCCGCAAACATTAAATTATAAAAATTGGAAGCCACATATTTCTTTTATGCATAAATGAAGAGCAGAAAACTGCTATTCAAACAAATCGTGCTTTGAAATTGAACTAATACACAAAACCATGGCTAACTATGATTGTAAAAGCTAAGTTATTATTCTATGATAATGGGAAGAAGACGTACATGATTTACCAAATGAGAACAATCATGTCTGATTGGTAACCGTATAAGAATCCATTCTGCAACAATGCAGGAACAGTATTATGCTTTTGACCGGGAAGCAAGACCTGTTTCCACCTTCTTAATTTCAAAAATGAGCATCCTCCACATCTTGAGCACAAACAACTCAGCTTCTTCATCTAATATAGATTGCAACTGCTCCAACATTTCAGATGCTTTCACATGGCCTTGAGTACTGGATACAATGTAATCTACTAGTGTTTTTTCCTCCTCACCCAAAAACTCTGTGATCTTCTTTGAAATCCATGGTCTCATTCTCTCATGCAGTGCATGCTGTAAAAATGCACAAGAACAGCAAAGTAAAACTTTGGAGCATATTGAAGATGAATAAAGCCAAAGAATCTTGTCTTTACTATAGACTAATAATATGTACAGTTTAAAATCAAGACCAGGGATGATTACCTTGTCATACACATCCCAATTTATCTCATGTGAGAACAATTCCTCCTTTGTCTTTGGGATCATATCAATCAACTGTTTGGCATCCAAAAGCTTCTGGTTATCTGTTGTCTTCACCTTATCCAGTCCATGTTCCCTATCCCTGCCTCGCTCAGCAAACTTCTCTTTGTTTTCATCTCTGGTACGACTTCCATCCTCATCATTGCGGTCTTTATCTCGGCTGGACTTATCATGAGATCGTCTGCTTCTTTCTCTTTCTCCATCAGGCTTCTCTTCTTTGGGTTTATTATTTGATATTCGCTTCGCGAATTCTGCTGCTGCAACCAGATTTGGAGGTGTTGTTCCAGGAACTGTTGGTTGGGTAGCCTGCAGTTCCTCTGTTGAATAATCAATGGGAACCAGAGGCCTCATCTTTTTGTCCTTGTGCGCATCATCATCTTCCTCTTCACCAAAAACAGATGGAACAGATGTTCGTTTTCCAGACCCAACAAGACCAAACCCCAACTTTCTTCCTACTGCATTACCACTTTGTCGTGCATCAGCTGCAGCAATGAATGCCAAGCTTGATTCGTCAACTGCACCATTTTGCAGATTCCCATCACCTAATATGCATTGTGAGAGCTCAATCAATGGGGAGGATAAAAGAGGAAATTTCAAATTAAAGCAATATTTAATGAAAAAGATAAGTAATTACCTGAAGTCCTGTTACGTTCAAAAGACTTATCTTTCCTTTCTATATTGGATTCTTCAACCAATACAGTTTTCTCACCGCCATTTGCTACACGACTAGACAAAAGTCTTAATGCATCCCTTTGTTGCTGCTGAAGCTGCTCCTCTTTGGCCCTCTTTTTGGCCTCAGCAATTTCTTTTTCTTCCTTAAGTCTGTCTGCCAAATCCTCCTCCTTTTCCCGTAACCTCCTCCTCTTTTCCTCTAACTCACTCCTACGCCACCTTTTTCTTGAATCTTCATCATCATAATCGTCTTCTTCATCATAGCGAATCTCTTTCCTTCGTTTACGCTCTCTCTCTTTCTCCCTTTCCTTCTCATATTGCCTCTGTTTCTCCTTATCCCTTTCTCTTTGCTCCCAATCTCTAAGACACTTCTCATACTCACGCTCTGCTTCATCAATCTTCCTTCTTTGCTCCCTCTCTTTTCTCATCCTTTCTCGCTCTGTTACCCTTTCTAATCTTTCAACTTCTCGCTCTTTTTCCCGTTTAAAATCCTGCTCTCTGTCTCTGTCTTTGCTTCTCCGATCATTTCCATGATCAGAACTTGCCTCAGGCTTATCATTCTCTATTGTTGCTTTGCTATCACTAGTAGTCTCGTCATCATTTTTTACTTTGGCTCCATCTGCAGAATTATAAACACCAGCAATGTTAAAAGGCTTATAATAACAGTCACTCTCTTTGTTAGCAAGATACTTGTTGAAAATGAAAAGACTGGTAAACAAAGCAATTACTCTTTATAGAAAGCAAAGAAACTACACGTCACCATAGTAAAACTCACCAGATTGCATCACATCTCCATCCGAATCCCCATCCCTTGATTTTGGCATCTCTGAATTTGACTTCATGGAACCATCAGGGGCTGGCTGTGCAGGGGGCGGAGGCAAGGGGTTGGTCTTTAACCTCTCCTCAATCATGCTAGTAAGCTTATCCAAAGCTTCTTTGTCTGCCTCCTGGTCTTCATCAGTTGTAATACCAGAGTTGGCAATGTCAAGATTTTTTTGGTTGCCAGTATCACCATCCTCCTTGGTATCCTCAACAGAGGCTATTGAAGGTTCATTCTTCTCATTGCTTGCTTCAGTTTCAACCTCTTTCCCGTCCTCTCCAGACTGTGTTTCTTTCAGCTTCTTTTCATTTTCTATTTTGTTTTTAACATACTGCTCCAAATATTCTCTTGTTGCCTGATTAACATTTATCTGATAATGAAACAATTAGAACATATATCAAATTAGTCAAACAAAATTATGACAGAAGCTCAATAAAACCTTGTTCTCACCTTTTTTTTTTTGTTAGCTCTAGGATATTAGATACAAACTCAAGAACAGGGCTTCTATAATATCCAAGTTAATTTATGCTTATTTTAACTTTAGGATAAAAAAAAATAAAACCCCACATATAACTCAATACTGATCAATAGTTAGAATATTAGCATGGGTAAAAAGATATTCCTCAGTTATTTACATTCTAATAAAGATGAAATGAAGATCTACTTGAAAGCTTTCAGGGAGTTTGTAGGTGGATGATGCTTCAAAAGGTCTTTGACAACATTTTTGTAAAGCCAAAGCTTTGGAAAAGAACAGTATTAAATAACTCCAATCACTATTAAGTAGAAAATTATACGTACTGACAATTCTTGCCCGTCGATATTAAATTTACTAAGCAGGCGCAATGCACGAAGAACCCCTTCAGCAGAATCAAATTCACAAAATCCAAAGGCTCTAAGAGTTCCATCAGTGGGATCTTGGGCGCGTTTCCAACTCTTGACAGGTCCACAAAGCTTCAAAAAGTGCACAAACATTATCAAACATGGACAAAACTTCAAACTGAACCCAAAACAAGCTATCAAACTCAAAAGAATCAAAGGCATACACGAAGAAGAGAGAGCATAAAGTCATAGTCTACAGTTGGTGCTATCTTGCCAATATAAACCGTAGTTTGAGGTTTCTCTGCTAGTGTGAGAATGGGAAGAACACCTGGCCTAACCAGAGGAGGGAGAATAGGGCGAACACCAGGAATGCCAACAGGAGGTAGCGGTGCTGGTATCACCCCAAGTGGTCCAGGTGGACGTGGAGGAAACAAAGGTCGAGCCATTGATGGGTATGTAGGTGGATAACGAGGAGGTCCTGCAAATAGAAAAAATATCTATGCAGATATATCAGAGAAAGTTTACAAACTAAATATTTTATGGAGAGTTTTGGCATAAATACAGAATAAGAATTTGAATTTTGAATAATTAAATGATGTTACCACACATCAAAAGCATAATAGAGATGGCACCATAGGCATTGCAACAATCACCAGCTGAATAGAAAACCTGAAGGAAACATTAAAGAGAATAGCAACCAGTTTGTATTGTGGTTAAGTACACTGCACTTACCTTATGCATCCATCCATAAGAGCCTTCTCAAACTATCCCATGGGTAACATGAGAATTCCAGCATCTCATGCTTCCAAATGAATTACTAACATGACATTATGCGTTTATATTTCATCGATTGGATCAATCTCAAGTGCTAGCATCCCAATGTGCAAAATAAAAAACTCAAAACAAAGAGAAACACACAAAAGAATACGTAATTGGTAGAAATGCAATACCTCAGAATACAAGGCCAAGGAGCACTCAGTTGCTAACATGGTCTGCTGCTGGCAATTCATAAACCCATGAAAGGGAAAGTATCCTTATAACTACCAAAAAGTATAAATGAACATGACAAAGGCACACATGATTTAGAATTACAAAAGGAATAACTACTTGTTAGAATTATTTTATCTTGTTTAACTTTTGTATTGAATTGAACATTTTAGCCTGATAAAGTGCTAGAATATTAAATTTATGTTTTACTCTAAATACAATTAAGGAGACCGAGCATACCAAAAAAAGGGACCTGTGGAAGTGGGTCTCTTAAGCAATATTGATTTGAAGCCTTCCAACCTTTCTCACCGTATTCAATCAAGACACTGTAGGAGAAAACATCCTGTCATAGATATCCCTTTTCTAACCAAGACCAAATTTTATATCTCACCCATTTCCTCTTAAATCAACTCTTCCCCGACAATGCAACATGCATGTATCATCAATCATAAACAATACATCGTTTCCGTTAAGCAATATATCATGGAACCTTTACCATGTTCATACAAGTTCCACGATAAGATGTCACAACAGAAAAATATTCCATAATTCAATGACAAAGAAACAAACGACCAAAATATAAAAACCAAAGATTTACATAAGAGATTGTTCTATACACACATTTTCAAGAATATGCACATAAGAATCAGCAAAGTGAGAGAGATAGAATAACCCACCCGGAAGAGGCATGACTCCCTGAGCAGCAGCTCCCGGCATGGCTGCATATCCATTAGGCACAGGGACAAATGGTCTCAACGCATGATTCGGAGCCTGACCCGGCGGGAACTGATACGGCATCATTGGCGTCCGAACGGAACCGGGAACCAAAACCGGAGCAGCACTCACACCAGGCGGCGGCACCCCAGGGTTTTGATAATTCTGAAGGGGAGAAAACTGCGGAACAGAACGGAAAGACGGTACAGCCGGCAGAACAGCGGTGTTGCCTCCGGAGAGCGGGGGAGGAGCGTAAGAAGTTATCACGGGAGGCTGCGGAGATACCAGTGGCGGGATACTGCCAGAGTTAGATGTGAGAGGTGTCAATGATTCTGGTGGCGGGGGTGGTGTCGCGGTACTGGGAGGTGGATCGGATTGTTGATTCGGGTTTTCGGGTTCAGGTTTGAAGGGTCGGGAAGTTGGATCCAGGAGTGCCGGAGACGAGGCGGCGTCCGCCATTGAAGAGGAGATTAGGAGAAAAGCGGCTCAAGACAGAGTGATTTTAGATTTGATTAGGAATTTTGGATTCTGTTGTAGAGTACTTTATCGGCGCCCTAGTCACCTAATAATCCAGAACTTATAAATTCATGGAAGGGCCGACCGCTGCACTGCAGTTAAGCGGAATGAAAGAGCACGTATCAGGGTGGGTTTTAATTAGTTGATTGGATGAAAATTTTTGTTCCCATCTTTAAACACATGGAGATTTTTTTTTTTTTTTGAATGATATAGATTGGTACACATTAATTTTTATTATTTAATGAATAAATTT